AAAGTTAGTGGCTTAAAATAACACAGATTTATTATTTTATAGTTCGATATATTAAAAGCCTGGCATGGGTCTCATTGGCCTAAAATCAGGCCTTGGTAGGGCTACACTCATTTCTGAAGGATCTAGGGAGAATACTTTCCCAGTTCTAGAGGATTCATTCCTTGACTCATGGCCCTCTCTGTTCATCTTCAAAGCTAGTAATATTGCATCTCTATGATCATTCTTGTGTCGTCACATCTCCCTCTGACCACAAGGTGCTACCTTTATATAATTAGATAGGACCCACCGGGATAATCTCTATATCTACTATTCTTAGTCACACCTGCGAAGTCCCACTTGCCATGTCAACAAAGACAGTCTCAGATTCTGGGGATTAGGGTATGGACATCTTTGGGGTCATTATTCTGCCTACTGCACATGGGTTTATAAAAATACCTTGAGAATTCTGGCCAGAGAACTAGGTCAAAGAGTAAGAAATAAAACAACCAACCCTATCTCTCCCCAATCCCCAGCTATTCTTATAGCATTACAGTATCAAGGATAATAAAAATTATTGTCTGATGGATGGAGACCAGTAAATAAAATACAGAACATTTTCTCAAGGACTAAGAGCTTGGTTCCAGCTTCACAGTGCAGAGAAGATAGCACAGTGCTCTGGGAATTAGATACTCTACATACACAGCCAGCTGGCCCTCCAACTGATTCTACAAGTAATGCATTTTCCAGTAAAACAACATTCCTCTAATCAGCTTGACTATCCCTTACCATGCATTCATTATTTTCCACAAGGTAAGTATTACAACTGTTCCATTTTACAGATGAGAAAATGAATACTTTTTAATGGTTAGATTATTTGTCAAGATCTTATTTTCATCAAACCAGTTAAAAAAAAAAAGTATATATCTGATTCCAAAGCTCAAGTTCTTAGTCCTATGCAATACTATGTCTAATAACCCAGCTATCTTGTACTTTCTCTACCCTATGCCCAACAAAAGTAAGTTCTTTCCTGTGTGTCTTTCTCAGTTTCTACATATATAGTACTGGTAGTGAAAGAGTGAGTGTGTGTGCGTGAATGTGTGTGCACATATATGCATGTTTAGGAATGCTATTTCTGTCACTAGGAGCTCTGGTAGCATAGTGCCTAAAGCACTTGACTGCTAACCAGGAGGCTGGCGGTTCAAACCCACCAGCCACTCCTCGGAAGGAAGGTTGGGCAATCCTACTTCCGTAGCGATAACTGCCTTGGAAACCCAAGGAGGGGTCGCTAGGAGTCGGGGCCGACTCGATGGCAAATAACAACAACAACAACAACAACAACATTTCTGTCACTTGCATTTTCATGAGGCTTTATGCCTTGACTACATGCCCTTCTATCAATCAGATATGGACACTTATAAGCCAGAAGCAGAATATGTTATGGTGCTGGTGCATGCTTTAGAGTCACATCTAGTTTCAAAACATGGCTAGATCACCACCTGTGAAACCTTAGCAAGTTACCTGAGCACCATGAACTTCCATTTCCTATCTTATGAAAGATAATAATATAAGCTTCATAGAGTCACTGTAAGGATCACAAAAAATAATATATGTAAAGTACCTGGTATATGATAATCACTCAAATTGTAGATGATATTATCATCACTTCCTTGCTAGTTTATCTACATAAACATGCTATTCAAAATTTTTGTCTTCTTGAAAGATGTTACTGATTCTACATATATTAATGACCTTTATATGACCAACCCCAAAGTTTAATTCACATTCTCTTGTTAAGTTGTTGTTAATGTGATTCAAAATCATTTTCTTCTAAATGGCTATGCCTGTCTGGAGAACTGGGGCCTGATACTTCTTGAAATTTGCTAATCACATCTGGTTTAGCTTTAGACATTTTCTGGGATTTTGCCAGCAGCCACAGCATTTAATGACTACAATAAACCTCAGAACCTCATCAAATCTTTGCTGTATGTGTGAAAATTATGTCCTCTTCAATTAAACATGCAACCTAAGCTCAAACCAAGGCCTTATGGAAAAGGAGGTTAAACCTGAATGAGAATGTTAGATGAAATGAACCGCCACAACTCTGGTCATCCTGCCAGATGGCATTTAGAAGAAAAAGAAATTCATTAGAGAACCAATGGTCTGTATTTTCTTTAAATATTTACTGGGTACCTTTCATGTGTTAAAAACATTGGCATCTCTAAAGATTAGCAGGGCATTTTTGTTTAAATATTCAATGTGTGTGGGAGGGGAGTCACAGTCGACTCAATGGTCTTGGTAGTCTACAAATCTGGTGAAGTTCAGTACAAGGAAGAAAAAACAACTGAGGCAATGTTCTTTTTTTTTTTTTTTTAATAAATAAGGCAGCTCTACTAGCTTCAGAAGCTCTTGTATTTTCTTAAAACAGACTGAAGAAAGTGTCAATTGAGTATTAAGAGATCCAAATGACACCTAAGAGTCTCCCTAGAGAAAACAACGTACCCCAAAGTGAGGCATTTCAAATGAACTCTGTCTTTTCATGCTCTTTCCAATTTATTCATCTTACTCTCTTTCTGGATTTCCTGGGTAGTGTACATGGTCCAGGTGCTGCACTGCTAACTGAAAGAAAGGCTGGCAGTTCGGATCGATCCCTGAGGTGCCTTGGAAGAAAGACTTGGAGATTTTCTTCCAAAAAATCAGTCACTGACACACATTGGTTCACCATGAGTTGGAACTCACTCAGCAGCAACTAGTTTGTGTCCCTGGGTGGTACAAACAGCTAACGTGCTCAGCTGCTAACAGAAAGTTCGGAGGCTCATGTCTACCCAGAGACACCATGGAAAAAAAGGCCTAGTAATTCACTTCCAAAAAATCAGCCATTGAAAACCCCATGGAGCACAGTTCTACTCTGACATACATGGGGTTGCCATGAGTCAGAGTTGACTCAACAGCAACCAATTTTTAATCCTCCATTTATCCTCAAACATACAGGGAAGGCAGCTGAGCCCAAAAGAGTGGCTGAAAGAGGCAGCCCCTGGAAGGAGGGCTAGAGAAGAGGAAAGATCAAACAGAGATCAGGTTTCTGTTCAAAAGACTAGGAAAGGGCAGGCAAAGGGTTTTACAGGGGCCAAGAGATGAGAGGGGATGGGCGTTAAGGATGCCCATAGAGTAAACAAGCAGGGCTCTTCCTCACCACTGCTGACCCTTCAGTTGTCTGAGAACTGGCCTGGGCCCTAATTCTGTCGCTGGCAAGGGAGAGAAAAAACTGCTATGCAATGGCTTACTCTGCTTTTTTTACAATAAGAATCAAGCACTTCATCTTAGACAAAGATAAAACTGTCAGTTCTTTAGGAGAGGGAATAAAATGACCACAAGTTCACATATCATATTCCTAAATGGAGCATCAATTTGGTTGAATTTACTCTCTCAACCACATCAACTGGGGGAGGGCGGGAGAAAAAAACCACATATTCCCTTAAAAATAATTTACAAGGTAAAAATATTCACTTGTAACCACTATCCTTATTTAAGCAAGTTTTATGCCCAAAGTAAAAATAAATGGTTCTCCCTGCCACCAGGAGCAGATCTTTCCCACTTTACTTCCATTTCTATTCTGTTCTCAGTCTAAGAGTTAGATTTCTGAGCACCCCCTTTCACAATAAACATTTTTAAATTGTTTATTTTAAGTCTTAGTGTAAAAATATTCCTGGTTGAAGCTCTTCATTTCCTCAAGCTCTCCATTTGGCACTCTGGGCTCCATTTCCACATTAACACGCTCCTTAAATCCTCCATAGAGCCCTTCAACTGGAGTTATACAAGCTTCAAGGCAAGTATTTATATTCTTGGACAAGGAGATGTCTCCACAGTGAAAACACAAGATTCTAGAAATGCCTAAGGAAAATTCCTGCCCAAGTGAGACATATTTTCGCCTTTAAAAAAAGCCAAAAAGGGGCTTTCAGCATTTTGTTTTGAATAATTAAAAATGTAAATTAAACTAAAATAGAATGCTTTACTGTGGGTCTTACCATCATTATTAGACTCATATACATAAATCAAATACACAGAAGAGCTTGTGTGTGTGTGTATGTGTATAAGAAAGAGAGAGACAGAGAGAGTGAGATGAAGTAGCATAATAAACTGAGAAAATACATTAGTTCTAATCAGATAGACCTGATTAGAGCTGGGTTCAAATCCCAGCTCTGTTTCTGACTGGCTGTGCAACCACAGCTTATGTATGCCCCATTTTCCACGTCTGTGCAATAGGGTTAATACAGTGACTACCTATTAGGTCATTATAAGAATTATATGAGACAATTCCAGAAGCACAATAAGCTTTCAATAAATTATTGCTGTCATTATAATGGGAGTTCTCGTGGCGTAGTGGGTAAGGCATTCGGTTGCTGACCCCAAGGTCAGTGGTTCCAATCTATCAGCTGCTCCACAGGAGAAAGATGAGGCAATCTACTTCTGTAAAGATTTACAGCCTTGGAAACCCAATGGGGGTCACTATGCTATCATTATTACTGTTTTTAAGGTTATTACTATTAAACGTGGGAAAATGTACACAGGTTCCTGGGTGGTGTAAATTATTCATGCTTGGCTACTAATTGAAAGGTTGGATGTTTGAATCTACCCCATGGTACCCTGAAATAAAGGTCTGGTGATCTGCTTCCATAAAGTTTACAGCCATGAAAACCCCACGGAGCTCAGTTCAACTCTGTTAACACATGGGTTTGCCAAGAGCAGAATCAGCTTGACTGCAATGGTTTAGATTTTTTTGGTTTGGTGGGAAAATGTAGGTAGGTAATAAAACAAGGAAATCATCAACACTAATAAAAGAGATGTATATGTAAATACAGCACCCCCAACATTCTGTAGAGATGGAATGTTTCCTGAGGGCTGTAGGGTACCACAAAGGAACTCTGCACCAATTTTATTCCCTGAGACAGCTGTAAACAATTCACCTAAATTGTTTTTTTTAAAAATAGTCTTAGCTATTGTAATAACAGAAAAGTTCCTGTTACCTTCTAGTTGCCTCTTCAGTTTCCTCAGATCTTTTACAAGGTCTTCAAATTTGACTTGGGAGGCCAGAAAGAAATCTTGTGGCTCAGGCAGGGGGAAAACACTCTTTTCTGTTCCTGCTTCCTAAAAGATAGGTAAATAAACAAACAAAAAAAAATCCACTGTACTTCCCAATCACCACTTTCTGTTAAAATTCCAAAGCATTAGTCACACACACACACACACACACACACAATCTTTAATGGAAGTTTGACTAAGAATCATAATAATGTTTCTAAATTTGGACTGGTTACTTCAAAGTGTTTTCTTGTCTTTCCCACTGTCCTTTTGGCTTTGTTGACATTTAAGTTGGTTATGGCATGGGCTACAATCTATTTTCTTCATGAATCAAAGAGAAAATTGTCAAGTATGTCCTCATCTTGGGCACTCTACTCCCATGGAAAAAGGCATGTTGTTGTTGTGTGCCATCGAGTCGGCCCCAACTCATAGCGACCCCTCCTTGGGTTGCTGAGGCAGTATCACTACGAAGTAGATTGCCCAACCTTCCTTCTGAGGAGTGGCTGGTGGGTTTGAACCGTCAGCCTTGTAGTTAGCAGTCAAGTGCCTTAGGCACTATGCTACCAGAGCTCCTGGAAAAAGGCATGGGGGAACATATGAAAGTACTTACATTTAAAATCCCTATTTGCGATTCGCATGCTAGCAATTAGATAAGTTATCTTTGGGGAGTGTCAATGAGTGTGTGTTGAAAGGTGCTGGATAAGAAGGCACTGCAATGAGAGACACAATCACCCATGTTCACGCCTTTACTCACCTTCTACACCTTAAGGCTTGTGTGTGTGTATGTGTGTGTGCACACACGCAAGCGCTCATACACAGATGATCGTGTTCGCTATGTATTTGTAAAGCTTTTACAAATGTTGTCCAGCTTACTTTAGGAGACATTTACTGAGGACATGGTTGGGTATAATTTTGACAAGCTCCATAGCTATACCTAATAGAAGATTTTAGCTGAGAAACATCTTCAAGGATAAAATCTTCAGGCACACTGAGAAAGATAAGCTGAGCCTCAAATGTCTTTTCCAGCCTAGCTGCTTTCTTCCTGAGTTGTTTAATATAAGCTTTGTATCTTGCATATCTCAGGCAGTCTTCCGTTATTCTTCTCTCGACTCAGACTACTTTGCCAGCTTTCCTTCACATTCCATCTTGCGTACTGCCATTAGGACTAATTCCAAACTCTAAAATGACTTTACAAGGCACTTTATTTTTTGGCTCTCTGTCTACCTCTCCAGTCTTATTTCTACCTTCCCCCTACCTCCAACTGCTTCCCCTAAACTTTGGTTAAATAATAGGCCATGATTCCTTGCCACTAGCCCTTTGTCTGCAAAACTGTCCCTCTCCAAAGCTTGCTCAGACTCTTGACATACCTTCTATTCACACTCCTCTTCAAATCTCAAAATAGATGTCACTTGCTCAAAGATTTCCTCTAACCCCAGGACTTCAGTGTTTCTCAAGTATATTCCAAGAGCTCCAGGTACTTAACACTATCATAGTGCATATCAACATGTATTTAAAAGTTGCCCTGTTAGCTTATGTGTTTTCCCCACTGCACTATAAACACCTTGAATGCAGAACCGTGCCTTGTTCTTGGTGCAGAATACAATGTCTGGCTTATCGATAAGCTTCGTTTTGGTCAGCACCATCACTGAGAGCCTATAAAGCACTGTTTGGGAAAGTCTGTACCTTCAGCAGTACATATCTACCCTATTTTCTTTTCGTTTCAGAAATTCCTTGGACCTTTCCCTTCCTTCAAGAACTTTAGTTTCGCTTGGAATATTAGGAGAAAGTGATTTGCTTTATTTTTTCAGAACACAACATTTTCCATGACCAATTTACTTATTTTTTTCCCTCATCTTCCTACACTTATTTTACTACTTTAAAAACAATGGGAGAAACGCTCTAGTCTGAGTGCCAAGATGGAACAACATCTAAGCTCCTTACCACAAAACTCCAAGGTAATCTACACTAGAAGGACTCAGGCATAATTTCTTCCTACTTTCCAAAAAGTTTTATCAGACACAGTCTGGCTTTAATTTTTTTTTTTTCCTAAAGGTAGAAAAAGAAAAAAATGCTACTGAGGAAATCAGCCTGGTAAGCAGTTCTTATGAAAGCTGCCCAATTAGAGTTCAAAAGACAGGGTTTAGACAGGCTACTATGAAATCCATAGAGCTTGACTTGAACAAAAAATCCAGAATGAATGAAAAGAAGCTTGAAGTAGGAGCCTTCTTTCTTTAGCTAATTGCTTATCACCACTAGCCACGAAAATCATCACTTATGCTCCTAAGAGGGAGGGGATGGTTTAATAAATTATATAATTCTACACTTTTGCTAAGTGAAATGCATTTTCCACAGCAAAAGCCAAGATAGCATCACAGAAATGTGGACTTCTTATTTTTCCTAGACTGGGCCAACCCATGTTTGAAAATATTCTTATGGTAGGATTTTCCTCTGTGAAATCAATTCTACTGGGTTTACCTGTCTTTAAACCAAACCAAAACCAAACTCACTGCCATCAAGTCGATTCTGACTCATAGCGACCCTTCCTTGGGTTTCTGAGGTGGTATCTCTACAGAAGTAGACTGCCCAGTCTTCCTTCCATGGAGTGAGTGGTGGGTTTGAACCGCCAGCCTTCTGGTTAGCAGTCAAATGCCTTAGGTCTTATACCACCAGAGCTCCTAGTGAGAATCACATTTCACAGGCAAATTTCAGCCTTCTTATTCAATGCATTTGACTTGGTTGAAGCAGACACTACCAGGTAAATCTGTCAAGGCCAAATTAGGACTAGCAATTTCATTTCTCAAGATTCTTGAGCATAATTCTTCTGCCACACTGGAATCTGCTGTCACAATTCAGAATCATATATTTCAGCCACTTCTTAACTGCCTGAAGCTCAATATGCCTTCCTTACTCTATCAGAAAACAGCTCTCACCTACGTATACCTAGTTCTTTACAGAGGCCACTGATTAAGCACTTGTGGATATCTATAATGCATTCAATTCAGCAAGTGGTATCTACTCTATAGACACTGAAAAAGAGACAACAATGGGTTCTGTATTTATGGAGCAATTTCAGAAAAATAGAATCACTCCTGTTGTAGTTAGATACCACAGAGTTGGTTCCAACTCACAGCAATGTTATGTACGACAGAACAAAATAATGGCCGGTCCTGTGCCATCCTCACAATCCTCGCCATGCTTGTGCTCACAGTCATAATCATTGTCTCAATCCATCTAGTTGAGGGTCTTCCCCTTTTTCGTTGACCCTCTACTTTACCAGTCATGATATCAATTGCACATAGATAACTATATAAAAGGCATAATAAAATGTATCATTAGAGAAGCCCAAACAAAGTGTTCCTGGGCTTGAAAGGAGGAAAAGATGAGGAAAGGAGTGAAGATTTTATGGGAGAGGTACCATGTAATATTGGACTTGCAGCCTGGCTAAATTATTTTCCCTTTTTAGAAAGTAATTTCCCTTTTACAAAGGTGGCACATATTCATTATATTTAGTAATTGAGCAAAAGAAGAAAATGAAAATCTCTTAAAACCCTATCACCTAGAAATAATCAAATATTTTAACATTTATCTTTCCAGATGCTTTTGTATGTATTTACATTTACATATTTTATATACACACATGTGCAGATCAAGAATACTTTCTAATGCCACTAAATTTTCTCCTACATACTTTCTATGGCAGTGTATCATTTCACTGTATGGATCTACCATCTTAGTCTCTGCTGTTGTTAGGTACCCTCAAGTTGGTTCTGACCCATAATGTCCTAATGAACAACAGAATGAAACACTGCCAAGTCCTGCATCTTCCTCACAATTGTTGTTATGCTTAAGCCCATTGTTGCAGCCACTGTGTCAATCTATCTTGTCGAGGGTCTTCCTCTTTTTCACTGACCTTGTACTTTACCAAGCATGATAACCTTCTCCAGGGACTGGATTTCCTGAAAGCATGTCCAAAGTAAGTTAACATGCATACAAGATGACTGAAAAGACTATAGCTTGGATCAGGCACACCTTAGTCTTCAAAGTGACATCTTTGTTTTTTAAACATTTTATTATTTTTATTTATTATTTTATTATTTTTTTAAATAATTAACTCTTGTATGTCCTGCATTTCTTCCATGCGAATGTTGCCCCTCTAGTGCTCTGTGGTCAATTGCTCCAAGGGATGCATCTCCATAGAGTATGTGGGTGCATCACCCTGGGTTGAGTGGTCTGTGTGCATATCTTGTTTACTATTGGGCTGAGAGCCAGCCCCTGGGAGTGAGTTTTATTCCAGGCCCAGAATGTATCCCAGGGCCATAGTATTGGGGGTCTCACCAGACTCGATTCGACCAGTAATTCTGGTCATTATTGAGTTTTTCAATTTTTTTTTCCATGTTTTTCCTCCCACTCTGTCCAGGATCTCCAGATTTGATCTTTTCCCGAGTGGCTGGCATTGGTAACCAGGCACCATCTAGTTCTTCTGATCTCGAGGGCCATTGTGTCCTAGGGTTGATTGCTTCCAAATATCCTTGTTTTTTTGCACTCTTCACTTTTGATGATAGGAGACCATTAGATGCATCTTAGATGGCCACTTGAAAGCTTTTAAGACCCCAGTCACTACTCACCAATGTAGGATGAAGAACAAGACTTTTATTTATTTTGTTGTGCCAATTGAGTCTGGTGTCCCCCAGTACTAGGGTCCTGAGTCAGTAGATTCATTGGATCTCTCTCCCACAGTGTCTGGCTGTCTTTGAGGGATTACTCTACGTCTGCCTTCTGTTGTTTCCATAAGGATTGTGGGTATTTTGTATCCCTGGTACCTGTGCAAGATTAGCCTCTGCTGAATCTATCCTTGGTCTAGAGTATAATTCCGCTCACTGACCCCCATCCGATCTTCTCATACGTTTATGTATTTATCTGTAGTCTGGTGTTTGGTGTTAATGGTAATGCAGTGCTATGGATATACTGGTTGGCATTAGAGTCTGTCATCTATATCTTATGTGCATAATTAGGTATCCTCCCTTTTCCTAATGTTATCATGGTGGTTACAGGCTCTTTCTATACCA